CCCAGGAGGCCCCCAAGAGGCCCCTAAGCGGCACCCAGGGCACCCCAAGAAGCCTCCCAAGATCCACCAAGAGACATCCCAAGAGACTCCGAGAGGCATCCAAGAGACCTCTGGCATTCTGCTCGCCCTCCTCCTCCTCCTCCTCCTCCTCCTCCTTCTCATCTGTATATTCCCTATCATTTTCCCTCCTCCTCCTTCTCCTCCTCCTCCCCCTCCTCCATGTCCGACTCCATCCTAATCCTCCTCCTCCTCCTCCTCATCTCCTTCTCCTCTTTGAAAGATAATAGCTGGCCCCCCCCCGTCTCTTGCTCCTACACTTCCCTGATCACCTCAACTCTCCTGGGCATCGTGTCTGGATGGGCTGGTGGGGATACATTTTCGGTCGCGTCCGCTAGCGAAGGCGCTAGCGGAGTCAGAAGCGCTACGGGAGCTGGTGGGGATACGTGAGGCGTCAACAATTGCTACGCCTGCTGCGGGCATTTGTGCTCCTGTGTAGAGCGAGACGATGGGCATGAGGTCTCTCGCATCAGCAATGAGGAGGTGGACGAGATGGCAGCAGCATAAGGAGGCAGACAGAGAAGTCGATTTCCACCATCTCCGCTCACCTGAGGTATATAGCCGAGAGACAATCCGCCGATCCCCACGTAACAGGGCCTCACGATCGAGACGCCGTTCCCCTCACCAACATTCGCCTCGGTCCTCCGCTGCAAGTGCACGCTGGCCTTGGGAAGAAATAATGTCTGACGACCATGTGAGCTTATCACCGAGATCGCACACCGATACTCCCCAAACCGTGTCCAACTCAGACACACGTTCGCTGACAGTCTTTCAACGCTTTCTGCTGCAACCATCCCCAAGGGGCGGCAGTATCTGGCTGCCGCGTGGGTGGGGCAAGTCAAAGATGACTTGGGATGAAACAGCATTCCAGGAGAAGTGTTCCAAACCTCTGGGGGGAAAAAATGATGAAGAAGCCAAGAGGTCAGAGGTCTGAGCCTTCAAGAGAGTGGCTTTTCACCCGATTGTATGTTCTGCCTGTCGAACAGTCCCGCATACTGGATTCGATTGGGCCCTTCTGCAAGGCCCCGTCGAAAGCTTTAGAAGGCTCTCTCAAACTTTAGAGGGTCCTGGTATCCCGATCGCTTGGAGGAACCCCTCGGACCCGTTTCTATCGAGACTCCACTGCTTCTTGGCGATGCTCGTCCCGGGTGGCCCTCCGAGGCCGCACCAGCAGCTCGAAGACCGTGGGGCCCAGCCCTCCCACGTCGTGCTTTTGCCTGCAGCGTGCACATCGCCATCGTTCGGACGCCCATTCCCCATGCATTTTTTGGCTTCGTGCGTGTATTTTTCGCAAGACGATCCAAGATGTTCCTCGATGGCCCTCGCCCCCCCCAAAATGCACACGTCCGAGCGATGCCAAGACACTCCTGGAGGTCAGGACGCCTATCCTGCTCCTGCACCCCCCTGGAACACGACCACCGGTGCATCCCCCTCCTCATCCTCGTTCTCGTCCTCCCTCTCCTCCTGGCAGTCCTGCAAATCCTCCTTTTCCCGCTCCCTCTCTTCCTCCTCTTCCTCTCCCTTCCCCCTCCTCCTCTTCCTCGTGCTCGTGCACCTCCTGCTCATCGTCCTCCTCCCCCTCCTCCTCCTCCTCCTCCTCCTCCTCCTCCTCCTCTTCCTCTTCCTCCTCCCTCCTCCTCTCCTCCTCCTCCTCCTCCCTCCCTCCTCCTCCTCTTTCTCCTCCTCCTCCTCCCCTCCTCCTCCTCCTCCTCCTCTTCTTCGTGCTCCTGCACCTTCTCCTCCTCGTCGTCGTCGTCGTCGTCCTCCTCCTCCTCCTCCTCCTCCTCCTCCTCCTCTGCGTGAACAAGAGGGCGCTGGCGCGCCACATTCCGCGGGCAGCCCACGCGCGACGCTCCGCTCCATCGACCCTCTTCAGCAGGACCGCGGGTGGGCGGACAAACGCAAAAGAACTTGACACGTGGATACCGTCATCGGCCTGACCTAAGGAACGATAAATAAAGAACGAAACCGCTTTTTCCTCCAAGGAGTAACGCATAAAGAACGATAACTAATCAATAACGTATACGGGACGATGAATACCGCATGCAAGCCTAAGGAACGACGGAGCCCCTTTTGAAAAATTAGTGTTACTTATTCAAGCCGCTCACTGTACGGTGACCTTGCGCGGTGGCTCACGGAAACCGTTCGCATGGACGACCGAATGAACAAGCGCTCACGCGCCACCATTCCCAAGAAATCTCGCGCGCGAGTGCTCGCGCAAACAATGCCCTGTGGACTTCTGCCCGCCCGCCACCATCCCCGCAAACAGTCCGCCGTGGATGAACTGTGTCGCCTAGTTCCGCGAAAGGTTGAAATGTGTCGCCTAAATGTGGTTGCGGTTCCGCCTGCGAGCGGGTTGAAATATGTCGCGTAGTTGCGGTTGCGATTACGGTTGCGCCCGCGGGCGGGTTTAAATGTGTCGCCTAACTCCGGTTGCGAATGCGGTTGCGGCCGCGGGCTAGCTGAAACTTGTCGCCTAGTTCTGGTGGCGAATGCGCCCGCGGGCGGGTTGAAATGTGTCGCCCAGTTGCGGTTGCGGTTGCGCCCGCGGGCGCGTTGATATGTATCGCCTACTGTAGCTGCGGTTGCCGTGGCAGTTGCGCCCGCGAGCGGGGTGAACTGTTTCGACAGCTGCGGTTGCGGTTGCTCCCGCGGGCGGGTTGAAATGTGTCGCCTAGTTGCGGTTGTGGTTGCGCCCGCGAGCTGGTTGAGATGTGTCGCTTAGTTGCGGTTACGGTTGCGCCCGAGGGCGGGATGAAATGTGTCGCCTAGTTGCGGTTGCAGTTGCGGTTGCTCCCGCGGGTGTCGCCTATTTGTGGTTGCGGTTGCGCCCGCGCCCGGGTTAAAATGTTTCGCCTAGTTGCGGTTGCGGTTGCGTCCGCGAGCAAGATGAAATTTGTTGTCAAAAGTGCCCCTCCACGTCAGTCAATTCAGCCCAATTCAGTCGGGAGGGCACAGAATTCCATCCGGCTCCGCCAGGAAAGCACCATCGCGACAACTCGCAACCAGCGCCCGAGTCCTCCCCTTTCTCTGCCGCAGGATTCGGGCCAGATCGGTCTGTGACCGTCCCGTCCTGGGGTTCAAGAACTGGGAAACAACGCCTTGTGTGAAAGAGCCCACGACATTTAAGTCGGGCGTGTCCCCTCTACAGAGGGATTTTGGGCGAACAATTATTTGAAAAACCCCAGAAATACCCCCCAATGGGCAAACATAGTCAAAACATCGTCCCCAATTTTTTGTCTTGAATGCTATTTTGGAGCACTCCTCTCGCAGAGGGACAGGCCCGACTTCACACACGACGTCCGCCGAGGTGTTGCTCTCATCTTCGATGGCCCCCGGGGTCCGGCCACGGCCCCCGAGGGCCGACATCGAGGCAGACAGGGCTGACCGAACACCAACAGGTCGTGGGAAAAAAAAACACAGGTGTGTGTTTTTTGTATGTTTTTTTGTGTGTTTTGTGTGTGTGTGTGTATGTGTGTGTGTGTGTGTGTGTGTGTTTGTGTGTTTTTGTATTTTTGTTTGTGCTTTAGTGTTTTTTTTTTTTTTGCCACGGCCCCCAAGGGCCGACCTCGAGGCAGACAAGGCCGACCGAACACCAACCAGGCCGACCGGAGATCTGGGCCGGGCGGGGGGTTCTCGCCACCGCTCGAGCGCCCATTCGTCCCCCGGTGCCATTTTCTCTCGACCTCGCGCGCGTGTGCTCTTCGCGAGAGGATCCTCGATCTCGCGCGTGTGTGCTTTTCTCGATCTCGCGCGTGTGTGCCTCCTCGATGGCGCTCGCCGGAGAAAGAATACGGTGCAAAGGGGGGGCCCCGGAGCCTTCGCGGACGGGGCCTGGGCGCCCACGGAGGGGAAGCTGTTGTTAGGCAATTCTCTCGATCTCGCGCGCGTGTGCTCTTCGCGAGAGGATCCTGGATGCTCCTCTGCGGGACGGGAAAATGACCACAGCCACTGCTTTTTGTCTGCGCCGCCTTCCAGCCGGCCGAAAAAGAAGCAGCGGTTGTGGTCATTTCCCTGGTGCCGAGCTCAGCGAGAATGGCCACAGCCACTGCTTTGTTTCTGCGGGCTGGAAGGCGGCAAAACAAGAAAAGCAGTGGCCGTGGTCGTTTTCACGCCCCGTATCCTCGATGGCGCTCGCCGGAGAAAAGGTACACGGTGCAGATGGGGGGGCCCCGGAGCCTTCGCGGACGGGGCCTGGCCGCCCACGGAGGGGAGCAGGGTATGTTGTTAGGTCGATCGTGGGATCGCTTGTGAGATCGATCGTGAATTCGACTGTGGCATCCATCATAGTATCCAGTGTGAGATCGATCGCGAGACTTGGTGTGTGTGTGTGTGTGATCGATGGAGATGCCGAGTGTGAGATCGATAATGAGATTTGTTGCGAGATCGAGAGTTTGATCGACGTGGGATTGATGGGCGTGTGAGCCGTCGGAGGTCCAGGGCGGCGCCCCGCCGCCAGGCGTCCCACCGACGCATCCTAAGCTAACAAAACTAAAACTGGCCACGGGCCGCCGGCGGGGCGGCCCGGACGCGGCCGCGCTGGGTGGGCGCCAGCTGCCCAGGAAGTCCCGGCGCCTCGAGCAACTCCACCTGCACTCCGCCAGCCCCCCTATAGGCCCCATGTGGGGAGGAGGAGGGGGAGCATGGGAGGAGGAGAGGAGGAGGGGAAGGTGGAGGAGGAGGAGGGGAAGGTGGAGGAGGAGGAGGAGGAGGAGGAGGAGGAGGAGGAGGAGGAGGATGAGGCGGACCAACATCAACCCACGATGTAGCAGCGATGCTGCAGGGCACCCTCCCGTCCCAAGCGCCCTTCCCACCCGGCTCAGAAGTATTCTTTAACTGCGCGAAGCGCCTCCTTGAGAAACGAGCGCTCATGCGCCTGCAGCTCAAGCGATACCTGGATTTTGAATGAACCCGCCCCATACTTCGACCTAGAAGGAGTGCGACTAGAATTCGAGACAATACTCAGCGGCACTACCCTCCATTTGTGTAGTGGTTGCGCATGATCTGCTTGTGCAGAGAGAGAGAGAGAGAGAGAGAGAGAGAGAGATAGGAACAACTATACATAGGGAGAAAGAGAACGAGAGAGACAGAACATCAAAAACGAGAGAGAGAGAGAGAGAGAGAGCGAGAGAGAAAAAACAAGAACAACAAAAGAGAGAGCGAGCCGCGCACCTCTGTGGCGCATTGGTAGACAGCACGGGGGCGTGCGCAACGCTGGGCTCGTGCCGGCGCATCGACGCAGAAGCGCTTGGCCGCTGCGCGCCCCTCGCTGCCTGGCATGCCAAAGCGAAGACACATCGGCTCAAAGGGATCCTGGGACGGCCACGCTTTCGGGGACTCCCCGGGCGGGCCGAGACGAAACTCACTGGCGCGAAGACGCAACGTCCCACGGCACTGCCATCTGGCTGTCGGGCACCACTTGTCCATACAGACGGGGCGTTGACCCAAGGAACCCTAAATAAGGAACGAGGCCCCTTTCATCCACAAGTTACACTTCGATTTCCCATCGAAAACCTAGGGAAAACCCAAGGGAAGCGGTGAAACAATCAAGGAACACGGAGCCCCTCCCCAACGAGAAGGGTTTCTTCTTCAGCGCCCCGACTGTATCTGGCTGTCGGGCACCACTTGTCCATATGCCTGCAGAGAACTGAGCTTCCCGCAGCCACAGGTGGCACGCACGGCGTCCTTGGTGACGTGACCAACGTACGAAAGGCTTACGCCAACCACTCTTCGCAGGCACAGCGCCTGGAAGGCGTCCAGCTTTTTCGCCTCGCCCTTGGTTGCCTCAGCCTGGTCATACAACACAGCAAACTCTCACGCGACAACCACATGTTTCAAACAAAACCCTCCGTCCGCTTAGACGGCACAATTTTGTCTGAGGGCGCTGGTTGTTAGGAAGCCTCGAAGTAAAACCACCTATTGAAAACTAGCCTGCCTCCATCCGTGCAACTCATGCACCATGTTGCACTTCGTGGTGGTGCTTGTCGGGGAAGTCTTGGGCGAGCGCTCCATTTTGAACGGGACCGCGCCTCTGTCGGCGCAACTGTCGAAAGCTTTGCATACGAATGTGCGCGGCGTCGGAGCGAGAACCGACGGACCTGGCCCCCATCGTGCAACTGATGCAAAGCTTTCCGAACAGAATGTGCGCGGCGCTCAGACGACAACTACATCTTGAAAATGATCCCCATCCATCCGTGCAGCAGTTTGAAGCTTTCGGGCATGGGGTAAGTCAGCGTTGAAGTGTGAGGCCGTTGGAAGCGAACCCCTGGCCTGGCCTACGGACATGGCTGGTGGTGCGACAGGGAGAAGTTGCTTCTAAGGAGAAGGGACGGATGATGAGGTGGAGGCGGAGGATCGAGCTTTGGAGGAGGATGAGAAGGAGAAGGAGAAAAAGGAGGAGGAGGCGGAAGAAGACCGATCCCCAAATGCCCCCCTGCGACACCGGAAACAGACTTCGAGGTGGCCGGATCGTCGCCGCGTCTAGGCCCGTGGAGGCCGCTTCCGGCCCCGGGACAGTCCCAAAAGCTGCTCGGGATGGGGAACGGGCCCTGGGGTTAGGTCGGGTCTGTCCCCCTACAAGGGGATTTTTGACGAAAGTAAAAGATACCCCCCAAATACCCCCCAACAAATTCAACAATGGTAAAAAATAGTCCCCAGACTATTTGTTTTGACTATCTTTGAATTTTCCTCCTGTAGAGGCCCAGGCCCAACTTAACCCTGGGGGCCTCCGACGTGGTGCGTCTTTCGCGACGCGGTCCCCCAGAAGTCCCTCTCGGGGGACCGGGCGTCGCTCTCCCGAGGAGCTGTTGGGTGGCCCGGGGGCCTCAGTCGCGGCCCGCGGAGGCCGGACACTGGCAGACCATGGCGTCTCGTCTATTTTGTTTTTCGCGGCGCGAGCCTGAAGTTTTTGGTGCTCGCATCAAGCCCAGACATGCGACAACCAAATTTTTCAAGACGCGGTCCCCAAGAGTCCCAACCCTTTCCCCGGGACCGGTTTTTCATCCCGAGCTGTTCTTTGACAGCCACGGGGTCCCGGGGAGGCCCCCCGGAGGCCGAAAAGTGGCCGGAGACGTGCCGCCCTGATTGCTTATACGACGCGATCATGCCTGGGAAAGTCTGGGCATTGCTCGGACGTCCACTCCCTGTCGGTTTCGTGCGTGGTTCTTTCGCCACATGATCAAGGATGCTCCTCGATGGCCCTCGCCGAGAAAAAATGCACACGTCTGAGCGATGCCAGGAGGTCACTCTGGCGAAGGGCCCCTCCTCCCCCCCCCCTTCCCCATCATAACTCCTCCTCCTCCTCCTCCTCCTCCTCCTCCTCCTCCTCCTCCTCCTCCTCCTCCTCCTCCTCCCCCTCCTCCCCCTCCTCCCCCTCCTCCTCCTCCTGCCTGGGAAAGTCACTCTGGCGAAGGGGGCCCCTCTTGCGCGCAGCCGATCCGGGGCCCCCCGCCGGCTGCACCCGACGAAGGGCCCGAGCGGCGGGGGGGGCGGCGCCCCCTGCGGGAGTGCCCGCCGGAGGGGCGGGCGCGCCCCGAGGGGGGTGACCTCAGCGGAGGGCGAAGGGGGCCTTCCTCCTCCTCCTCCTCCTCCTCCTCCTCCTCCTCCTCCTCTCCTCTCCTCCTCCTCCTCCTCCCCCTCCCCCTCCCCTTCCTCCTCCTCCTCCTCCTTCTCCTCTTCTTCCTCCTCCACGTCTTCGCAAAGACCTCCCCCCCCCCCAAGGGGAAGCCCGAGAGGGGCCCTGACCCTGTAGGGCCCCTTTCGGACCTCTGCTGGCTCCAGCAGGGGCCCTCATCGCAGGGGCCCCTCGGGGCCCCCTTTTGGGCCCCTGCTGGCTCCCAAAGGGCCCCCTTCGGTTGCCCCTTTTGGACCCCTCTTGGCTCCAAAAAGGACCCTGCAGGGTCCCTGCCGTTTCTTCGCCCCCCATTGGGATCACCCCCCCTTGACACCCTCCCGAGCACCTCGCTCCTCTCTCCTGCCCTTTTCCTCACCGTCTCCTGCTTCTTTCTCTGTTCGCTCTCGCCTCTGTGGTTTCTGCTCTTCTGCCTCCTTTCGATCCTGTATTCGCCTTTCCTCTTCTTCTTCTCCTTCATCTTTCCCTCCGCTGGACACCCTCCACTGGAGTGCTCCACCAATCTGTGTCCAGTGGAAGGCGTCTCTGCCACTCTGCTGTCGCCGCCTCAGTTTCCGTAGAAGGGCATGTTCTGCCGCTGGCCCGCCATCTCGTAAGGCGACGGCTTCCGGCCACTGACTCCGCCGGCCGCGTTCGCCTTCTCCTCCATCTCCTCGGAGAATCGTTTTACTGGTGGCCTGGGCCCCTCTGGCCATCCCACGCCCTCCCATCTCCATCTCAATCTCCATCTCCACCCACCCACCCACGTTCCCTCCCATCTCCATCTCCCCATCCTCACTGGCGTGGCCACCCAGGTGGGGACACATGCCTGCTCCTTCGGGCTTCGCGGGGCCTCTCCCCACCGAGGAGGGCAGGCCGGTGTGGCTGAGACACCCTGTGGCACGCCCGGAATGGGTGCGTAAACAAGGGGTACGATGCCGAATAGCAATCGTTGCCCAACATCGACAGCGGCCGCTTTTTGGCAGGCGACTTTTGTCTCGAATGGGCAACGCTCTTGGTGACACCGACAGCGAATCCTGGTCAAAGTGGGCGGGAACTGCTGTCGGTTCTCGTCCCCATTTTTCCATAACCATTTCGATCGTGCAGAACCATTGCCCAAAAGGGACCGGGACAGGCTACCTGCGGCAGAAGCCGGGCGTCTTGAAAGAGATCGAGGCGGCTGGATCGAGGCGGCTGGATCGTCACCAGCCTCGGCTTCTCTTGGCTGGTATCAAGCTCCAAGGCCGTCAGAGCGCGTTCCGTGTCAGATCATGGGGGCCTCCCATGCCATCCTGCTGGCCCTTGCGAATCGACACTCACCGACGCTTGTCGACGCGACTGGACGCAATATCGGCGCTTCCTCATCGGGTACCAGACGCGAACCCACGCTCGTGCACTCCGTGTAGCACCCCGCAGTTGCGGGTAAGAGTGATGGGGGCGGGCGTGAAGTGCGTCGCGGGTGGGTCGCGCGCGGGTGGCGGGTGGGTCGCAGATGGGTCGCGGGTGGGTCGCGGGGGAGTCACCGGTGGGTCGCGGGGGGGTCGCGGTTGGGTCGCGGGACGGGTCACGAATGGGACGACGACAACAAACAACAACGCAACAACAGGTCGCACCGCGGAACCCTACTTCAACCGCGTACCCAAGGGCAGCGAAGGACCGTTCGGCCCCCCCACTCCGACCAACACGGAACTGCGAGGACACACAAGGCTCCCGTGAGCTGCGACCGAAAGAACGCATCGGGATGAAGAGCCCGCCTGGGGAGGAAGCCATTACTGGGATCAAATCGTGAGGTAAGACGAAGCCAGGACTGGGACGAAGCAGCAACTGAGATCTGGCGGTTCTGGAGAATGTGTCGGGCGCCGCGGCGTTCTCAAGGCGTTACAGAACGCTCTGAGAACGAGCCGGAACGATTGGAACGGACTTATCCTCGTGTGCCCGAGACTGAGGAAACCAAAAGGTACCGATACCGCTACTCCCTGGACCTCTCCAGGGGTGTGTTCTGACGAGGATTTCGAGGCGAACCCAGTGGTGGCGACGAGGGCCTCCCAGGAGGTCCAGCAACGGACAAAACGAGGGACGGGAACGGTAGCGGATGGTGGGATCGTCAGCTTTTCGTCCTCTGTCCCTAGAGGCCTCCTAGATGGGGTCCGAGTAGATGGGGTCGGGGGATCTCACCGCATCGCCGATACATCGACGATGCATCGCTGATGCATCGGCGATGCATCGGCCATGCACTGGCGACCTCAGCGATCCATCGGCGTTGGCGTGGAGAAAATCGAGCCCCACATCGAGCCGCATCGTCGATGCATTGCCGATGAGTCGCCGATGCATCGGCGATGCGGCGCGATCCTCCGACCCCACCTACTCCGATCCCATCTAGGAGGCCTAGAGTCCCAGCCCCACCCGATGAGGTCCAGGGGCCCACGCATCGAGAGAGGGCGGAGCGCAGGGTGCCTCGGCCCGGACGGGGCATGTTCTGCAGGCGGCGACGGCCCGTGTCTCCGAGGACGTTTCCTCGCCCATCTCTTCGGGAGCGGCCAAGAGGGGGGTGTCCAAGGGGGGGGGGCGCAAATCATGACCGGCGGCATGTGCGCGGCCCAGCGGGGGGGCCAGGGACGTAATGAATTAAGAAGAGGCGCCATGAAATCTGGGGAAATATCATGACCCCCGCCATGATATCCACCCCCCCCTAGTCATCACCCCCCTCGTTTCCTCCCCCATCTCTGGTTAATTCAAGCTTCGCGCGGCCCGCTTAGCTTCGACCGGAAGAGGTGCGCTCTCGACCCGCGAATCAAAAGAAGCCGTGTTTCCGAGGACGTGGCCGGGAGTCATGAGGCGAGGTGGGGGGGTGATCCGGGCCCAGGGAGATCGCTGTGCTCTTAAGTCGGGCCTGTCCCCCTACAAGGGGGATCTTCGACGAAAAATAAAAAAAACTTCCCACAAATAATCAAAAAATAGTCCCAAAAATAGTCTGGAGACTATTTTTTGTATTTTTTTTGGCCTTTGGGGGCATTTTTGGGGTATTCTTTATTTTTCGTCGAAAACCCCCCTGTAGGGGGACAGGCTCGACTTAACTGTGCTCCCAAACCATGCTCCTGGGGAGATGCCGCGACCGGGCCCAGCTGGAGCACAGGGATGCGCTCCCGCTGCCGCCCCAAAACGGCCCCGGGACTCCGAGCAGACAGTCACGATACCCCCGAGAGGCTTCCAAGAGTACGCCAGGACTTCACAACTTCGGGTTCTGTAGACTCTTCCCATACAGTCACATTCGAGGAAAGCATATAATTACCAACCATATTGAACACCTAGTGCTTTTGATTGGGAGAGACAACTCACGCCCCTGGAAGCAATAGACTTCCCAACGATTGTTACCGGGAGCCGTCCTTGAGGATTCTCCAAGAGCATGGTTGGCCACAACTCGGTACGATCTGGGCACCCCTGGAATGAACGCCTTCGGCGAGGTGCAGCTGCTGGAGAGCATCCTGGAGCGGGAAAGCCTACAGGAAGCGACGGAGACGTCCGAAAGTCTCGAACTCCAAACTTCGCAGGGCCTGTCCCACCCCTGACCCATCCCTCCCTCATGTTGCTCCCAACAACGCGCATCCAAGGAGGTGCAGTCGGCCCGCATCAGAAGGATGCGCGAGAAGGATGCAAGGGCCTTGGGTGCCCATCTCGAAGCTTTTCGAGCGGAGCGCGGCAAACGAACGTGGCCGAGGATGGGCCGAGGAGGCAGGGATGCCAGCGTACCCTCGGGAAGGATGCCCATCCTTCTTCTGCGGGCTGGCTGTACCGGAGGGCAGCGGAACAGCAGGGGAGCGGGGCCGCCGCGGCGCGCTCTGCAGCACCTCGGCGCTGCCTCCCGCCGCGCGGCGCAGCACTTCGGGCCCCCTGGGATCGTGTGGTACAGTCGGGGCCTTGACCTAAGGAACCCTGAATAAGGAACGAGGCCCCTTTTTTCCATAAGTTAAACTTCGATTTCCTATCGAAAACATAAGGAACACCTGAGGCAAGCTGTGAAACACTTAAGGAACGCGGAGCCCCTCCCCAACCAAAAGGGTTCCCTCTTCAGGGCCCCGACTGTAACGCACCGCGTGGTGACTTCAGAAATCCCAACGACCTCCCCGCGCGGTCCGCCACTCCACGGCTTCGGGACCGCGGATGCCCCAGCCGCTCGAGACGCCCTCGGAGCACGACCCCAGTCCCAAAAACCGCGCGGTGACCCCGCATCCCCGGCGACTCACCACGCGGTGTGGTCACCACTCCGTTTGGTGACGAACGAGCAACACACACCCATACCCATAGGGGGGTCGTTGGGAGGAGGACTGGCTATGGGTATGGGTGCGGGTTGTCGGACCCTGGGGAACGCTCCCGGTCGAGCGGGGACCCCCATCCGACAACACGCAACCATAGCCCTCTCCGACCCCCCTATGGGTATGGGTGTGTGTTGTTAGTTCGTCAGTTTGGGGGCCCCCGAAGCAACCATTCCCGAGAGTGCTCCTGGAAACTGCCCATGAGGACCCTCCATTCGGCGGCGCGCCGAGGGGGGAAGTTCGACGCTGTCGGATGCTTTCGTTGGTCCCCGAGGCTTTCCAGCCTCGGGGCGCTGTCCAGCAGCTGCGTCTCGTCGAGGATGCCCTGCAGGGTGCCCGGATCGTCGCGAGCGGCCGCCCAAGATCCGAGAGCTGTCTCCCGAACAGCAAGCTCGGCGGCACGCCGAGAGTGCCCCGAGAAGCCCTCCACTGCTCAGAAGGCGGGAGGGGGAGCTCGGAGAGACGAGAACAGAAAGAGAAAACCACGTAAACATAAGCTTTTGGCGCTCCGCGCGGATTTCATGGATTCGCGCTGGATCCCCCTCCCTGGCGCACGGAGCGCGCCGGGGGCGGCGCCGGAAGCGCCGCCGGGGGACCCAGGCGCGGATCCAAGAAATCCGCGCGGAGCGCCAAACAAATATGTTCATGTTTTTTCTTATTCGAGAGAAGCCGTCTGTCTTCGGAGAAGGCTTAAACAGCTTATCAGAAGGCCGGGGCTTGTGAGCCTTCTGAGAAGGCCGAACCTGTCTTTAGCGTTCGGGGCGCCGCCGATGTTGTTGAATGGTACTGGGGTATATGAGCAGCATCCCACATAACCGCAACATTCCCAAACATGCCGGAGGAAATCCGCCACCAAGACACTGCAGGGGCGCGGGTCTCATGACTTCTCTCCAACTCGCATCCAGAGAGCGCGCGGCATTCCCACCGCTGATCCATGGAGCTCCTCATAAGGATTATCCAGGCAAGTAGCTGGGAATGCTGCGTGTGCTTAGTCGTTTCAAATGCATCCCTCTACCCATGGCCCACAACCCAGGCACGGTGGCGAGATATCCTGAAATACCCTTCAACAAGCTTTCCAGGAACATCATCCGTCTGTGCCTGCTTGGGGGCTCTTGGGATTTGGGATTGCTCCTTGGGTCCGTGGGGGCCGTCTCGGGCGGCTCCCGGGCCGCGCCGGGCCCACCTGGAAGCCTCGCGCGGCAACTTTGGGGGGCACCTGAGCTGTCTTGGTGGCCCTCCTGGGGTGCACTTGGGCCGTCTGGAAACCGGGGGAAGCCTGCCGGCCCGAGTCCTTCCGTGCACATATGCGTGTGTACATCTTTTGTTTGCCTCGCCGACAGATCGGCGACAGGGCCACGATAGCGAATCCGAACGTTCCTGGGCGGATACCGCTACTCCCCAGACCTCTCCGTCTCCTGGGGTGCGTTCTGACCAGAATTTCGAGGCGAATCCAGCGGTGGCGACGAGATCCTGCGAGGAGGCCCAAAAAAGGGGACAATGGCTATGGGTACCTTCTCCTCCTCTGCATATAGCTACTTGCCCACAGGGCGAGCTGGGGCTCATCCGCCGCGGACGCCTCAGTCTACACCTCGCCGCGCACGCCTCGCTGCAGGCTGGGAGGACGCCGGAGTGGGCGGGCCGTCCGGCGGCCTCCCGCGCGGATGCCAGCGCCGCGCCGCCGCCAGCCGCGCCCGTCGCCCGTTGCGCCCCGGAAACTCCGGAGGCTCCCCAGATACGCGACGTTTTGATTTTTTCCATGCGCGGTCCCCAGCAGTCCCGACCCCTTCCCCAGGACCGGTTTTTTATCCGGAGTCGTTTTGTTGACGGTCCCGAGGCCCGGCGAGGGCCTCCAGAGGCTGAAAACTAGAGAAGGAGAACAAAAACCTCCTGTCGTGATCTTCTCGCAACGCGAGGGGTTCTGGGAGGCTCTGGAGGGGCGAGAGCTCCTCTTCGGGAAGCGCGTGCTGCGCGTCAAGGACTGCGGCAGCGGCTTTGGGGAGCAGAGAGGGACGAGGAACCATTGGCAGCGACACCTTCGAGGACCTGGGCGACGCGGAGGCCAAGGACGCTGCTCTGCCCCCCTGCCGCGACGCTCCGGAGGACCCGTCGAGGCTCCATGAGGCCTCAGCGCGGTTGGAGCTGCTCGTGGCGGCGATGCCAGCGAATGCGACCGCGCTGGACTCTGCCGTGCTGCAAGTCCGCCGCTTCGGCGCCCGATCTGGCCTCGACTCCTTCGGCGACGCGGCCGACTCTGGCTCCGAGTCCGGCTCCGAGTCCGTCGTCTACGACTCCGAGCCCGGAGACTCAGAGGAGACTCCTGGGCTGGAGCACGAGGACTGGACCGACGCGATGAAAGGGAGACCGCTGAGGCCGAGCTGTGCGCGAAGGTACGTTTCGAGGCGGGCGCGCCGTACCACGCCGCGCAAGTTGCGCTGGACCGGGTGCAGCAGCTTTTGAGCAGGGACCGACCGTCCCCGCATTTCTATAGACCTGCCACGAAATATTCTTAGACCCCAGAAATGTTCCAAGAACAATCACACTGTTCTTAGAACATAACCCCGATGTGTTAAGACAGGACAGGCGGAGCCAGACGTGTTCTGAGAGCATCTCGTGCAGACCACACAAAAGGCTCTTAGGACATTCTCTGGTGGGCCTACAGGCGAGCCAGGACGCTTCGCCACTGCTCGACGCTTCAGGAGGAGGCCCGCGCCGCTCGTGCGGCGACGCGGGGCATCAGGAGGGCAGCACGGCGTCCGATGCGCCGAAGGAGTCCGTCCCCTCCTCCTCCTCCTCCTCCTCCTCCTCCTCCTCCTCCTCCTCCTCCTCCTCCTCCTCCTCCTCCTCCTCCTCCTCCTCCTCCTCCCCCCCCCCCGGCCATCGCTCGGGCGTGCCATCCCTGTGATTTTTTGTTGGTCTCGTGCGCGGCTTTTTCGCAGGATGACCCAGGATGCTCCTGAAGAAATCCCCGCCGAGAGAAAGTGTGCACACGCCCGAGCGATACCAAGCCTCTGTCCTGCGCCAGTTGCGGGCCACACTGCAGCTTGACGCCTTTGCGCCGCTGGTGGGCGAGGCGCGTCCCGCACGCGGATCGACGCGCGGACCGCCCATTGGCAGAAACGCTCTGAAGACTTCCTGCCCTGCCGCATTTTCTCTAGGCTGGCGCACGGGCAATCTTTGGACGCCCGAAACGGGTACGGAACGAATGGGTACAATGCCCAACAACAAATGTTGTCCCAAACCAGCAGCGGTCGCTGTTGGGCAGGCGGCCTTCTGCCTCGAATGGACACAGGCCGCGGCGGCGCGGACAGCGAGTCCTGCTCAAAATGAACAGGATCCGCTGTTGGGCATTGTACCCCATTCTTTCCATGCCCATTTCGGGCGTCCAGACAATCGCTCCTTGCCCATGCTTACCGCGCCCCTCCGGCTGATGGGGGGCTCCCCAGGGCGCAGGGCTGCACAGTGCGGCAGCGGCCTCCTGGGGGATGGCCTGCGACCCGGGCAAAAAGCGGCAATCCCAGGACCCAATCGAGGCCGACCTTCGTCGCACGCCTTTGCCCATCCACCCACCCCCTCCGCATTCCCTTCTCCCTCCTCCTCCTCCTCCTCCTCCTCCTCCTCCTCCTCTTCCTCCTCCTCCTCCTCCTCCTCCTCCTCCTCCTCCTCATCTGGTTCCTCCTCCATCCTCGCCCTCTTGGGGTCCGCGATGGTTTCCCAGCCTTTATTCCACTGCATGCTCGCCCACATCCCTGATCAGGGCAATTCGTCTGGGCATTGTTTCTTGATGTGCTGGTGGGGTTACGCGAAGCGTCTAAACTTTTTTTTGTTTGTTTGACTTTTTTGATGCGTGGATCCCAAGAAGCCTGGACCACTTCCCTTAGGGCCGGGACAACATTCCGAATCCTTTTTTGACGGTCCTGGGGCCCATTCAAGGCCCTTGGAGGCCGAACACAGCCCCTAACTGGTCGCTCCTATTTTTCTGTCTTAGGTATCTAGCGGATCTCGCTCCTGGAGCCCGTGGAACATGTGGGAATCCAGGCAATATGGGAAGCCCAGGGAATACTGGAACATGTCATGGTCATGACCTCTTGCTTTTCTGAAAGAAACGGGGGGGCGGTAAAGGGGAAGAGGGGGACGAGGGGGGCAGCGGAGAAAGGGGCGGCAGAGGAGGCACGTCTCCTCCGCGATGATGACCTCCGTGGTCGTCATCAGGGAGGCCACGGAGGCGGCGTCCGCCAGCGCGGTGCGGACGACCTTGGTGGGGTCGATGATGCCCGCCTCCGCGGCAGGGGGAGGGGGGCAGGTGGCGACATCCGAACCCTGCCCCCGCCGACCCTCATGTCTCCCGCATCGATGGGCGGCGGGGGTGGGGTTCGGGCTTCGCCGAGGGTGGGTCTGAAATCCTCGTCGACATTTTTTTTTTTTTTTTTTTTATATATATATATATACATATATGCATATATAGAAATGAAAACCTAGGTCCATTATCTGCAAATGATACTCTATGGATTATTGTCCTGTGAATGGATCGGGCTCAGCCCCCCCCCGGCGGAATCATTACCTTTCCGGAATAATCCACCTAAGTTTAATATTCCAACATTATGAACCAACATTTATTTCAGGTCAGAACGTACCCCCAAACGGCGCCCCCCAAGCTCAATCATTATCATCCCACAATAATTAACCCGGGGTCAATAATCCGGGAACGTTATGAATCCAGGTTTAATGCCTCCTGGAGAGAATGAACCGGGGTCAATACTCCGACATGAAAAACCTGGTGAGGAACCCGGGGGTTGGGGGGAACAAAAATAATCATTATCATTCTGGAACGACGAAAACCGAGGCCATTATTCCGGGGACATTGTAAACCCCAGTCAAAATTCCCGGAACATTATGAACCCAGGTCAATATGTCTTTGGGGTCGATATCCCAGAACATTATAAACCAGGGTTTATAATGTTCCTGGGGGAACATTATGAACCCCAATCAATATTCTCAGAACATTTAAACACAGGTTCATATCATTCCGGGCGAGACATTCTGAACCCTGGTGAATAATCCCAGAACGTTCTACACCCAGGTTAATATCTATTTGAGGTCCATCCTGGCCTCGCCACCCGCTCCACGAATTTCGAATCCGACCCACGACGACGACGACGACGACGCCGCCCATCCAGCTGCTTGACCCGTGGATCGGCGAGGGCAGGGCTCGCACTTCGCCGCCGAAGGGGGGGGGGGGGCGGGGGCCGACCGCCTCTCCCGTGCGGTGTGCCCCCCTCTGCCGGACCTCCTGCGCTCGGCGCGTGGCCCTCCTCGGCTCGGCCGCCCGCCCGTTCCCTGCCCCTCCCTCGCCGGCCCCCCCCTCTCTCCCTCCTCGCGCCGCGGCGCCTCCCTCCTGCTCGCCCCCGACCCCGCCGCCCTGGCCATCGCTCGGGCGCCCATTCCCTGTGCCTTTTTTCGCTCGGCTGCGCGCGTGGCTGTTCTTCGCCAGATGGTCAGGGATGCTCCTCGATGGTCCTCGCCGAGG